GGACTATAGTCTGACAAATACGAGCACCAATACTCGGTACTGTCATCTTGCTCACGCAGATAATGCAGAAAGTTCTTGAACATCGGGCTGCGGTGTGTTTCCAGCTTTCCAGCGTATGCCAGCTGCAAGTCTCGGACTATAATTGAAATCGAAGAACCATCCATGGAAGCATGGTTGATTTCCAGTCTGCAAAACAACTTTCCAGCAGTAGTCTGACAGATAGTAAATCGATGAGGTGGCCGATATCCGACGTAAGTCATTGGTCCTTGCTCATCAAACGCAGCGAGCACCTCACTTTCATCCATGCATCTGATAATGCTCGGCTCACAGTCGATTGTTTTCAAGACCACCTGACAGAAGAGCTCCCGGCTCGTGAGTTTGTCCACAAATATGGTCCGTAGCATTGGGTGATGCATAACAACGTCTTTCCAAGCGAACACCAATCGATTGAGATCAGGTTCGCCCCTCGAGCCCTTCACTTCAAATGTGTCATGCACAGAGTAGAGTCCTTCGTCTCGAGAACGGCTCAACAATATACCCTGCTGCATGCGCGAGCAAGGATAGATATCTTCTACTTGCTCAAAAGACCTAATTCCAACACTAGGCAATCTGCTTGAGAATATCGTTTCGAGTTCTTCATACGTCAAGGAAAGCATGGGGAAATGGCTCAAAGTTGGTTTTGGCGCAAGGGACTGCAATTTTGGACCGAGATGTTTGAGCATATCATGGCAGTTTGAGATCCAATCTCGGATAGATTGCTGATGTTTCATATATCTGTTGAAAGAAAACGTAAAACGCAGCCGTCCTTGAACAGCCATCGCAGAGATCTCAAAAAGGGCGAATCGTGGTGTTTTCTCGCCAAAGTCTGCTGCTCCTCCACCTCGACCGGTCTCTCCAGCCATCTGATTCATAAGCTGGAAGAGGCCATCCTGTCTCTGCAAGTCTCGGTGTTGGCCGACATAATTGAATGAGATTTCCATGGGACTAGGATGACCACGGTCTTTTGCATCGCCAACCAGGCGCCGTGCAAAGTCTTGTCTGCCATTATCCGTAACACTTCGACGGAGATCTTTGACAAATATGAGTGTTTTCACCGGATCATCTTCTGCAATGCGCTGTAAGCTTATTGGGTGCAGAATGGTAAACCACCCAACAGTACGCGAAATGTCTATTCCACAATCCCAAACTTCCCTACCGTGGCCTTCATTGTAGATCACTGGTAAAGATCGGTCACTAAATGTCTGTTGGAAAGAATGCAGAAGTGAGGCGAGAAACACATCAATAGGCTCAGTCTGAAGACTTTGGTGACAGTCCATCAAGAGAGTATGCGTGCTCTCTGCATCGACCTCAAATGTTTCGCAATCAACATCACCATAAGTCATAGGACTTTTCTCCATCCCCCAGTAGGCGAAGTCTGGCGGAGGAAGGCTTTCCAAGGCCATGTTCGGTTCCTGGCATTTGTTTACTTGCAGTTGACACCAAGTCTGGAAAGGAAGAGAGCCAGTTTGATATGAAGCCTCATCCGGGTTCAAAAGTAAATCTTCCAGGTCTTCCAGAATAATCCGCCACGAAACAATATCGACAACAAGATGGTGCGCAACAAGAGACAAAACAAAGTCATTTCCATCTCCACTAAACATATCAACTGCGAGAACGGGGCCAGTGAAAGCATTGATGCTGGACTGGCTATCGGCAATGGCATGCTCAATCTGATCTTGACAGTTCACATCATGCATACGCCAACGGTAAGAGCCAGCAATATCTTCTGTAATCAGCTGTTGTAATCCTTCAGTACCCAAGTCAGTCAATCGTGATCTGAGCATAGAGTGGCGGCTAATAAGTGTTTCAATGCTGCGGCGCAGGTCATACTCGTCGACTTGTTGATTCAAGCGCGTCAGCACGCTCTGGTTGAAATGTCCCTGGCCCTCTTGGCGCACCATGAAATGAAGCTTTTGAATTGGGGAAAGGCTGAAGGGTTTATCGATTGTTTCCTCATAGGATGCTGGTTGTTGGATATATTTTGCACGAGTTGCCAAGTCCCTAATCGACTTGCTCCGAAGTATATCTTGAACTGTGATGCCAATTCCCTGCTTTGCGCAGAAACCCACACATGTTAATCCGGCAATAGAGTCACCACCGAGACTAAGAAAGTTCTCATCGAGGCTGATGTGGCTTCTAGGGACATTGAGGACGCGGCTCCAAATAGAAGCCAGTTGCTCCTCTGTCGCATTTTCAGACCGAGTGCTGCTCTCGTTGTGCATGGGGTCAACCTTAGCGAATTGAATATTTGGGTCATTTTTCAAGTTGCCAACCCAATTTGCAGTTGCCTTCCTGTCAAGTTTGCCGGATACAAGCATTGGCAAAGTCTCGACACACAACCACACCGTGGGGATCATATACGCTGGTAAGCGCGCTGATAGTCGATCACGTATCTGAGATATGATAGAATTCTTCTTTGAATCCTCAAGCAGTCTCAGGGGTACCAGCTCTGAGTCCGGAATGTTTTCGAAGATAGACAAAGATATTACCGCTGCTATTCTGCCTTCAGAGAACCCAGACTTCGGGAGAAATACAAGGCTGTGCTTTACATTTGAATCAGTGTTCAGGTTGTCTTCGATCTCACCCAGCTCGATTCTTTGTCCGTGAAACTTTACTTGTGTGTCCTTTCTTCCTATATACGTCAGCGAACCAGCTTCAGAATTATACCTTACCAAATCGCCGGTCTTATAAAATCTCCGGCCAGAACCTCCCCCCTGGCGTTTCGTCCAGGATGGGTCGCAAATAAAAACCTCGGCAGTCTTTTGCTGATTATTGACATATCCTCGAGCTAGAGAAGGCCCCTCAGCTAGCATTTCTCCAACACAACCAACAGGAACAAGTTGGTTGTGATCATCTGCATCTACAATCCAGCAACGGACTCCCGTGGGAAGACCGATATCCCTGCTATCAGAGGATATAGTGACGTTTGAATTAACCGCAGCTGTAACGGCAGTCTCCGTGGGCCCAAACCCATTGACAAGGTTGATTTTGGACCATGTTTCCAGGTGCGATTGAGACATTGCCTCACCGGCGAGCACAAGAGTCTCAAGTCTTGGAACATCCGATATATTGATGAAGTTAACGAACGATGGCGTCAGAGTAGCATGGTTCACTCTCATGTCGTTGATTACTTTGGTAATGTTGTTCAAGCGTGCTTCTTCGCTTGGCACACAGATGCAAGCCCCAACCAACAACGCCGTCAGGATTTCAACCAAGCTGGCATCAAATGTATGTGCCGCAAATTGTAGTAAACGTGAGTTGGAAAAGACACGGAGCTGTGGTGCATGAGCCATCGCACTGGATACGTATGCTTTATGTTCCATCAAGGTGCCCTATGAACGTTAGTTTGGGGAGTATTCCTTCTCGTACGATTGGGAGAAACAAACCTTTGGCTCTCCTGTTGATCCCGAGGTGAAGATTATATATGCTGCGTTGGAACCCTTTACTTCCGTCAATAGGCTTACGTCCCCGCGGGGAATCGAAAGTTGTTCCCAAGTATCACTGTCTAGTGGTATCAAGTGCTCTACAACTGTCCTTAAGTTCTCAGAATGATTTCTGGAACACAGCATAACCCTCGCATGCACAGATTGAACAAGGGACTGTAAACGAGATGCCGGGTGTGTTGGATCTAAGGGCACGAAAGCACCACCAGCCTTTAAGACAGCAAGTACTGCCACAACATTCCATTTCTGCAGATACTTGTTAGAATCTTGCAATGATAAAGGCAAAAGGCCGTGATATTTTCAGAATAATGGGGAACAAAAAGCAATTTATTTCGGGCTGTTAGACTATTCGGGGTACTTACGGATTTATCGAAACATAGCGCCACGCGAACTTCAGGCCCAACACCTTGCGCCTGGAGATGATACGCAAGTTGGGAAGCCAACAGGTCCAATTCCCTGTACGTCAAGCTTCCATCCCACGCACACACGGCTTCGCTGTCGGGCTGAAGAAGTGTCTGTTCCTGGATGATTTCATGAATACAGCTGTCGTGGCTCTCCGGAGTCACAGCGTTAAATTTGCAGATGCGAGCCCAATCGCTTTCTAATATGCCGCTTAGCATGCTCACTACCGTGTCATCTGCCTCAAGAGCTTGGGTTAAAGTTCGCTGGAAATAGTTGGACATGCTTTTGAGTTGCTCGGCAGACATTTCGTTATTCCACCACTCTATAAAGATGCCGATATCTTCACGTAAGATCTTTACGTGAAGGCGAATACGACACTGATACTTAGATGTTAGTATCTTCCTCCCAAAGAGGTTTATGGCATACAATTTACCTTATCAGGCAAAGGGATCGCTGCGATTCGTTGTGCTGGCGTATCTGTCGAAGTTCTTGTCGTATCACGACAATTTTGTATCATCATCAAAGTGTTATACAGTCGAAAGTTTCCAGTCACCACACTTGAGGTTCCGCATTTCTCAGCGGAATTCGTGAGGTCACTCTGACCCTTTGCTTTCTCAAGCAATCCTCGGATAGAGTCATCTTCGCTGACCGAGAGCCTGCATGTACAAACGGGCGCACTATCAGAGGAATGGGTCGCAAAATCATCGGCAGTCGGATATTGGTAGCCGAAGCAAATATTCCCAGAGCCAGTATAGCGGTAAAGGACCAAGGCCCACGCGGTTTGTAATAGAGCGTCCAGTTGTCCTTCCTGCCACGCTGAAATCAACTGGGTAGTTACTGAACTGCTTATCCTCGTCCTCATCGACATAGGCTGCTTAGGACCTTCAGATAAAGGACCGAACTGTGGCAAAAAGCATTGGGTAGAGTGGGCCATGATGGTCAGTAACTATCTGCGACACCCCGCAGAGACAAATGTATTAGATATTAGGAATCTAGAGATATGTAAAAAGGGAATGAGAGGAGCTGAGCAGCTCGCACAGTACTCCTTCACACTTTTAAATTGTATTTTGAAATCATGGGACATTATCATGGGGTCTTAAAATTTGCTTGGACGAAAATAGATCAATGGAGCTAAAGGACTTCATCACATCGCTAAGGCTTTACGCAGACGCTACACCCGAAGAATACGAAGGTACCAAGAACCAATGACAAAACATGAACGCCTTGATTGTTAGCCACCAAGCTTCCTACGGTTTCCTATCTTCCCTTGCTTTAGGGTGAGTCCGGGCGATGTCCGGGACGAAGTTTAGGGCTTTCGAACTTCTGCAGGGGGCCTGGGCCCATGTGCACCCCCCGGTATGGCTTGAAGACCAGGAAATGATAACCCACATAGTGGACCCATAGTCAGGAGAGGAGAGTTGGAAAAAGAAAAGAAAGAAAGAAAAACACAAATAAAACTAATGGCTGAATGGCTTGGATGTAACACCCATGCAAGAAGTTGCCCCATCGTAATCCTTGGGGTTCTTCCCGGTCTGGAACAAGACTGGATCAGTAATATAGGCGATCCTAGATTCGGTAGGTATCAAATACTCGGCAGAGAAAAGATAACCGAGTTCACTTTAGTGGACTCTTGGGGGTCTGTTTCTCATAGGTGAAGGAATATTTCTCACCAGACTAAGTGGGTTCTTCGAGAATCCACTCTCAGAACTTGGAAGCATCAACAGGGAAGAGTCGTAGCTGAGCCTGCCGCAGTGCTTATGGATGGCAGTAGGTACAGGTACCTAACCAGGTGACTTGCTGGTCGGAACAGAAGCTCCTTTCCCGTTCAGGCAGCTGGGTAATGTCGGAGGTTTTTCATTGGGCCCACGCAAACATCTCGTGGGCATCATGTTGCTACCACATTCACTCTACAGAGTGCATAAGATACTATCGTATTGCAGCATCCTAGCTGCATAAATCTCTTATGCACCGTTACATTCGCTTAGAGATCTGAGAGAACAGATCACAACCTTCTTTTCAGGAAGTAAATCAATAACCCTTTCAACCATCAGTCCGATGGGGATAGAACACAGCAGATGTGTTGGAGCAACAGGAACCCAAGGTGGTTAGAATATGGATCACTAAGTTCTCGGATATTTCCCTTGCTTAACTGGTAATCACTGTGGCGAACTGTATGTTCGAACTCAATTGGTAGCAAGTAAATGAGGTTCGCATATGGTATTAGGGTTGCATAGTTTTAGCTCGCTTAACAAAAATCTACGAGCATGGGAATGTCTTGGTCGCTCGGAGATACAACCTCAGGTTTTGCGAGGTCATCCCTGGGTTGACGTGTACGATTTCACCGTCGCTAAGTATATCGTACGGAAATTTTTCTTGCCAGGTACCTATATTTGGAGCCGGCGTCCGAAGGAAATTGGATACGATTGGTCTAGTGACATTTTCGTCATCGAATTTTCGCACGGGCAAAGTGATCTTCTGTGTTTCTTTCCCCATTAGCAGCAGTTTGTTCGTTAATATGAACGTCATGCGAGATGGAGAAGGTTGTTGGCTAAACGTCGATGCAAGCGCTGCAAGGGGGTGAAGACACTAGTACTCGTAGTAAATCCATGGTCTGCATAGTTTCGGGCCGATATCTGTCACACCTCGTAATTTTCTTATTTTAGCTAATTGCGAGCAAAGTCCGACAACGAATATTACCCAATCGGGGATGTCTAGGGTGAAAGGATGTTGGCCCCACAAAAATTTTCTTTCTCCGGAGATCTGAGCCGATTTTATTTAAATTTACTGATCGAAGATCCCGGGGAATAAAGGGAGATAGATGTCAGTCTCTACTTAGTACAGAGGTATCAATCAGAGTTATCACTAGTTGTGGGTACCGCCCACTCAGGAGGACCGTACATCAAGAAAAGTGAACAATCGAAAAACAATAAGAAAGTATATATATAAATAAATTTGGAAATAAACGAAAACGAGAGAAAAAAAAAAAAAGAAAAAGAAAAAAAGAAAGAAATGAAAAAAAGAAAAGGGATGTCTGCGTTTGCCTCGATGTCTCTCATCCATGTGCTACTACTGCATGCTGACAATAAACGACAATAAATGCCCAACCCTAAGATTCCAAGTTAGGTAAATCAAGGCCTCTGAACCAATGTGGCTCTTATAATAGCGGCAGCAAGATGAGCACTAGTAGCTTGACAGGCGTTTTATTACAAGCCAGGTAACTAAGTTAGCTTCTTTACCTAGATCGAGTCCGGTTGGGGTTACAGGGTGGAAATTCTCTCCATCCTGTAGAATGAGAAAACTTTTAATTGAACCGTCGGGATCTGATGGATCTCCACAGCCGCTGACACGCCAAACTAGACTAGTAGCAACTTGCAAGGTACAAGACAATTCAACACTCCACCTTATAATGGGGAATGAAGGATACTCCCGAAGCTTCCTAACCACTGAATTCAACGCGTTAACCCGAAAATAGTTAGCCAGTGGGCTCCGTCTCAAACTCGTTGAATCACAGTCATCAACCACGAAAATCTTGGTCTAGGCTAGACAGGGGAAGAGGAGGGTCAGTCCTAAGTAAGCTCTAACCCAATCACCGTAGTGGGTAAAGACTGTTTAGTACTGATATTAACAAGGAATATAGACATTATACCTACGTATGTATCCACACAACTGCCTTGGTTGATCACAATGGTGTTTTCTCCCTTGTTTTCCTTGGAAGCCACTATTATGATCTTGTTCATGAATGGGCAACGAGGCGGCTCGCCACCACTAAGTAACTGGTCATTCCGCACACTACCAATCCTTAGGGCCATGGCCGTCATGGCTCTGTTCCAATCGATTCTGCGATCAAGACAGGTGCTTGCTTTTCTTTTCCCTCTCTCTCTCTCCCTTTTTTTTCTTTTTTTCTTTTTTTTTTTTTGGTTTTTCTTCCTCTCTTGCTGATGTTGTTGAGACACAGCTAGCCCAGTCTATGGCGAGTAAAAAAGTGTCAAGCAATGAGCACGTCAACAGCACGGTACAATTTCAAATTTGATGCTAACGGGCCGCGGTCTCTGGCGTTAGCACAATGTCAGACCTACTTGATCCTGTGACGAGTTTTTTCTTTTTTTCTTTTTTCATTGCATTTATTTCTATTGTCATTATCATGGTATACATCCCTAAATCCATTGTCTGTCTACATGTGAATAGACTTCTATTTTCTAATCGTAAACATTTCCGCCTTAGATATACCTAGTGGCTTCTCAGCTGAGATAGATGAGATCTCAGCAAGCATTATACATACTACGTTAGATTATGCTGCTTCTCAGCTCGGGATTTGGAATAATTCAATTCTTTCTCATCCGTATTCCGGTCATCCGCAAAGCCACCCGAGCTCGTTCCGGAACTAGTACGCGGTACTTCTGATTTGGTTCGTACTAATGGGTCCGTCCATATCTCAGAGGCTTATATGTGGGGACCACGACAGGGGATGCCCTAATTTGTCCAACTAGACTCTTCTTAGGTAACTACTACCATGTCCTCTGCCAATGCAAGGAAAAAGGAATTGAAAAGGGAAAAAAAATCATAAATGGAAAAGGGAAAGGCCGAACCGCAGTTCGAACTAGGAAAAAAGGGCCATACTAGGCCTGGAACCACTAGAGCTCAGGTACCAAATAAAGAAAGAAAAAAAAAAAAAGGAATCTCGATGATGATGATAATAATAATAATATCCAAGGTCTTTAAGCATATCAAGAATGAAGCCACAGTTACACGACACGCTCCTCGTGTTGCCCTACCTCGAACGCTCAAGGTATCGCCACTCATCATGCGAGGGGGGCGTATTATCATCATCCCACAGTTACGTAGTAGTGGTAGTATACTTTTCGCCTAAGACAAAACTCTATGCATGGCAAAGACATATCTAGAATCAGAAAAAAGCAAAGAAAAGAAAAACTCCTAATAGTGGAGATCCCCTTCTGCAAGAACATGGATCAGACTAAATCATTTCATTTTGATAGCCGAGCGTTGGGTTCAGATGAACACATTGCATTGGATCAGCTACAGATGGCTTTACGATGTTAATTCTCCTTGTGATCGTGTTCGTGATGGAACGGTGGGTTAGACTTCCACTATACTCTAAATAATTTTTATTTGTTTATTGTTTTTATTATTTTTTTAACTAGTTCCTCCCTAATCACACCGTATATGGTGACTAGGCTGCTATGAAGGTAAAGCAAGACTGGATTGAGAATTTGTCAGTTTGATTTTTGTTTTTATTGATCTCTTTTATCTCTTTTTCCTCCCTCTTCATGGTTAGGTAAACGAAATCAAAGACCGATAGTCACTACAACAGTTCCAACCACCCATGATAGTGAGTTCGCTGTGATTCGAAACCATAGCGTAGTCATGGTGCTGCATTCAGATTTTCTCGCGTGCCAGCGGGACGATAATTCATTTCGGATTCCTGTTCAGTCCTGTCGAGATGGCTTCGACTTCTCTTTGCTCTTCGAGGAAACAATTTTAGAAATATTACCTCTGGGGCTTATTCTTATTATCGCAACATATCGACTCTATCAGCTGTTTCGAAAGCAACGCAAAGTGGTAACATCATGGCTGTTATGGGCAAAACTTGTATGTACATATAACTTCCTTGTTGGGACAATCGTGTCCCGTGACCGTTGACCTTTTGACCTCTGTTTGTACTTGACGTGAACTCGCCGCTTCTCTGCCGCTAACCTCCCCATTAGACAACGTGGGCTCTTCTAGCGATTCTTCGTCTTATACTAATAGCACTATGGGCCCTTCCAACAGCAAACCGAACGCAAGCCTCCATTGCTGCAAATGCGGTCTTGACTGTGGGTACAGTATTCCTCGGGATCCTCTCTTATGCGGAACATAATTATTCAGTCAGGCCCTCTCTTCTGCTGGGGATATACCTTTCCATCACTCTGCTTTTCGACATAGCAAAGACGAGGACGCTTTGGCTGCGCGAACTAGCGGAAATCAACAGAATAATTGCAATTCTTACTTCCGTAGCAGTAGGGGTGAAGGCCCTACTCCTCCTTCTTGAAACTGTGGAAAAGCGACGCATCCTCAAAAATGTCTACGAAAAACTTCCACCTGAGGCTACAGGAGGTATCTTCAACAGATTCTTCTTTTGGTGGTTAAACCCTCTGTTCAAAACTGGATTCTCCAAGCTACTTTCGGTGGGGGATTTATATACACTTGACATGCAATTGACCTCCAAAACACTGCATAGCTCCTTGGAGACTATGTGGAACAACGGTAATAAGCCCTGGATGACTGATCAGTTTACCCTACAGCAATCGGGCTGACGTCGGCCAGGAAACAAAAATTCATTGCTACTTGTTACATTCCGGACATTCAAATGGCAGCTTCTCTCAGCCGTGCTTCCGCGAGCTTGTCTTGCTGCCCTAAACATATGCCAGCCTCTACTACTACATAGATCGCTTTCATTTTCGGTAGAGCCAGAAACCAATTCCACCACTAACATCGGTTACGGTTTGATTGGCGCCTACATCCTCGTGTATCTTGGGATGGCGGTCAGTATAGCACATACGTTCCACCGGAGTCCTCACTCTTGCTTGCTAATCTTTCCTTTTAGGTAACCATGGGCCAGTACCAACACATGACATATCGTGCCATCACGATGGTGAGAGGTGCCGTGATCTCCATGGTGTACAGGAAAGCCACCACACTGAGCGTTGAAGATGCTGACCCCGCTTCATCTCTTACGCTGATGAGCGCTGATATAGAGAGAATTGTTCAAGGGTGGCAGACAATCCATGATATTTGGGGTAATGCCTTGGAGATAGGTATAGCCATTTTTCTCCTGGAACAGCAACTGGGGGTAGCTGCTGTGGTTGCTGTTGGTGTCGCTGTTGGTGAGTCTAAATTCACGCTATTTTATTGAGCAATGTGTTAATGGACACGGTTTCGGATAGTGGCTCTTGCTGGGTCACTAGTAAGTCTTGCCTTTGTGATGACGAGACAAGCTATGTGGCTCGAAGCAATCGAACGACGCATTTCATCTACCACATCAATGCTTGCCTCTATGAAAGGGATCAAGATGCTAGGTCTTAGTGACCTGCTTATGACATGCATTCATAACTTACGGCTCGACGAGTTGAGTATCTCGAGGAATTTCAGGAAGCTCTTAGTTTGGAATATGGCCTTTGGTATGTGTGATACGCCTAGCTTGTGGTGATCTGCTAATGGCTCCATGCAGCTTGGACAACTCGGATCTTTGCGCCAATATTCGCATTCGGGGCGTTTGTCGGTATCTCATATAAAAATGGAAATGATGCTGCTCTAAATACTTCGACAACTTACACCTCACTGTCATTGTTTGCTCTTTTAGCTGATCCACTTTTGAACCTGGTCATGGCCCTGATGACTTTCCTTGGGTCGGTTGGCTCCTTTCAAAGGATCCAGGAGTTCCTCGAGAAGAAGGGTCATGTGGATTCTAGAGATAAGTCCCGGCCGCTCCGACTAGGGCCTGTTCAGGAATCCAAGCAACTGGCTTTCGTGGAAGACTCTGAGACCTTAACTGATGAGTCAAGCTCAGCTAAATCAGATAAGGAGGCGACAGCTCTATCTGAGGACATGGTCACAATCAAAAATGGAGCGTTTGGGTGGGATAGTCAGAAAGAACCTCTGCTGAAAAGTTTGACAATCACAATCCCTCGTCAGACTTTTACCATGCTAGTGGGACCCTCTGGCTGTGGAAAATCAACCCTTCTCAAAGCTATCCTGGGCGAAGTACCTTGCTTGAATGGTACCATAAGCTTATCATCTGAGCGTATTGCGTACTGTGATCAAACACCATGGCATATGAATGGGTCTATCAAGCAGAGTATTGTGGCAATGTCTGGGTTAGACGAGGATTGGTATCTTTCAGTTATCTGCGCATGCGCCCTGGTTGAAGATTTTAAGCAATTACCGCGGGGAGACCAAACAATCATCGGAAGCAAGGGCATTGCCTTGAGTGGAGGACAAAGTCAGCGTATTGTGAGTAAACAGACGATCAGCAAGTATCCCATCTCATTGCTAACGCTTCTACTCTCAGGCACTAGCAAGGGCAGTATATGCCAGGAAAGATATCATAGTCTTGGATGATGTCTTTAGTAGTCTTGATGCGACAACAGAAGAGTACATATTCCAGTCTTTGATTGGTACACATGGCCTGCTTCGTTCAATCGGCTCAACTATTCTCCTTTCCTCATCTTCTGGTAAGCCATAGACCAAATATTGACTCCTTTCCTTTCCTTTCCTGTCTATCAGCGCCAAGCTAACGAGCTATATATGTAGTCAAACGAGTCCCTTTCGCCGATCATATCATAGTGCTCGGGAATGAGGGCCATGTCATGGAACAGGGAAGCTTTAAAGCCCTCGATCTAGCAGGCGGTTATATTTCAAGCTTCGCGTTAGGCCTACCAGAGCAAAACAACGCTGCGGAGAAGCCCAGTAATTCAGCAAAATCCGAGATTCAAGTGAGCTCTGTTGAACAGGATGAGGACGGTGACGTGGAAAGTCCTGGGGCGGGTGGCGACATTTCGATTTACTTGTATTATGTTAAGTCGATCGGCTGGCTCCCCACTCTTATATTTATTATCGCGATTACAGGGTTCGTTTTCTGTATATCATTTCCCAGTGAGTCCTATGTAACCTCCTGCTCTCCTTCAATGATTGAAGCATGCTTACCTACTATGAACAGGTATTTGGATGAACTGGTGGGCTAGTTCAAATGAAGCGGAGCCTGGGAAGCATACAGGCTACTACTTGGGAATTTATGCAATGCTTGGTGCTGTTGGCATGCTTTGTCTGATTGTCGGTTGCTGGTAAGTTACATGATCCCTGCTTCCCTTACACTATGTCATTCTTGAACACTAACCGCGGGCTCTTTAAGGCAAATGATCATTACTATGGTGCCTAGATCTGGAGAAAACTTTCACAGAAAGCTCTTAAGTACAGTTTTGAGGTACTTTGTATCACTTCCGTGTTTAATATTGTTTTTTTAATGACCTCTACAGCGCACCTATGTTGTACTTCTCGAAAACAGATAGCGGCGCCATTCTTAATCGATTCAGCCAAGATTTACAACTCATTGACATGGAACTACCAGTTGCTGCTATTAATACATTCGTCAGTAAGTCATCTTCACAGGATTATAATAGTCTGCCAAACTTCGGCGGGGGATCAATTACTTATAATTTTGTAATCTCTAGCATTCGTCCTCTGCATATGTCAAATGGTATTTATTGGAATAGCCTCAAAATATGCGGCCATCTCCTTCCCGGCGGTCATTCTAGCGGTTTACTGCATACAGAAAATATATCTTCGCACCTCACGGCAATTGCGATTCCTGGATCTTGAAGCCAAAGCGCCTCTGTACTCTCACTTTGCTGACTGCCTCGGTGGTTTGATGACATTAAGGGCGTTTGGCTGGCAGCAGGCTATGGAAGAGAAGAATCACGAACTGCTTGACTATTCACAGAGGCCATTTTACCTTTTGTATGCCATTCAACGCTGGCTTACACTCACCTTGGATCTTGTAGTTGCCGGGATTGCAGTTTTGTTGATTGTCCTAGTTGTGGTACTACGTGGGTCAATGAGTGCAGGCTACGTGGGTGTAGCCTTACTCAATGTCATCCTGTTCAGCCAGAGTATCAAACTGCTGGTAACGTTCTGGACCAACCTTGAGACTCACATCGGCTCCATCTTGCGTGTTAAGATGTTCTCTGAAAATGTACCTTCAGAGAATCTACCCACAGAAAACGACAACTTGCCACCGGACTGGCCATCGCAAGGAAACTTAATATTTGACTCCATCAGTGCAGAGTATAGGTAAGCACATGCAGGATTACACACTAGTGTTCACAGTACTAACATGAAGCCATATTAAGACCATCGGAGCCGGTCCTCAGCGATGTATCTTTGTCTATTCAAGCGGGCGAAAAAGTGGGGATCTGCGGCAGGACTGGCAGGTGAGATCGGTTACATGTCTTTCCGACGCTGTACTGTGACTCATATTTCTTTTGGTAGTGGCAAAACCTCCCTCTTAATGAGTGTCTTCCGGATGGTTGAGCTCAGTTCTGGAAGCATCCGGATTGACGGCGTCGATATATCGAAGGTGCCACGGCAAGAAGTACGCTCCCGCATCAACGGGGTCGCTCAAAGCCCCTTGTTGATAAGGGGCAGTGTCCGAGAGAATATTGATCCAACAGGCTGCCACACTGACAAGTCCATAATGGAAGCCCTCAGAACCGTTCAGCTCTCTTCCAAGGTCCAGGACAACGGAGGCCTAAGCACCGAAGTTGACGAACTATTCCTGTCGCACGGGCAAAAGCAGCTCTTCTGTCTCGCTCGAGCAATCCTGCGCCAAGGCAACATTCTCGTCCTCGACGAAGCCACCAGCAGGTACGCATTGCACTTAGAGGATATGGTGTGTATCAAATACTTACATATCTCCCATTTAGTGTCGATACCGTAACAGACGAGATCATGCAACAAGTTATTCGGGAAAAGTTCAGCAACCACACAATCCTCACCGTTGCCCACAAGCTTGAAACAATCCTCGACTATGACAAGATTATCGTGCTGGATGCCGGCCGCATAGTTGAGTCCGGCAGTCCTTATGCTCTTCTAGCTTCGGATACCTCGCATTTCAGCAAATTATACGCAAGCTCGATGATGGAGGAAGCCGAGTAAATGACTTATATACATATGCGAGATACCCGTAAAAAAGTGTTGCTTTCACATAATATTTAATAGTTATCCTTATATATAATTTACAGTTGTGTAATGAGTTTTACCCATCAACCAACCAGATGCTGTACCTGATGTGAACATTAAATTTCTAAGCCATCGCCTAGCTATGCTTATTCATAAAGTTTCAGTTACTAACTAGCTATTCAATAGTTATTAAATTAGATCTTAAACATTAAATAACATACACCTAACATTACCAGCCAAATCCCCATCCTGCAAACCGCAAACTGCAAACCTGAGTATCGACCGACTAACTATACAATAGGTATACAGTAGTTAGTACTATCGATGAATATATCTAACTAGTTGAACCATGTTGGTCTTTCTCAATGTTGGTTGAGATGCAACCCCCCCCCCCCCCCCCCCCCCCCCCCCCCTCCCCCCTGGCCGGGGGGGCTGCTGTTTGATGGAGTAGTGGGACGAAACAACACACTCATAACCGCCTGTCATGAGAGACTCAGAATCACTCACATCATCGAACCATTGCATCCCTTCAGCCAGTCGCTTCGCATAATACTGCTGGTAGCCAACCTCATGGGGAGGATGGTGGCGGTAAGTCGAGGCGCACCAAATAGCAAAGCCCGTCACAATGGCCTCCTGACATTTTGAACCAGCGACGAAGGTCGACAGGGACCGTTTCGGGGGCATTCTTGCTGAAGCACTCCTCTTTGCGACGGAGATAATGGTTCTCGAACTCGATGCACCTCTCCCTGGGCCATTTCTGGGAGGTGTCCACGTCGTAACCGTACTCGGGGTTCATTTCTTCGGAGTGCTCGCGGAATGCCATAGTTCCTGACATAAGTAGACATTGTAGATTGAATGTAGCGTTTACATGCAATCGATTGAGTAAGTGGGAAGGATTTTAGAAAAGGAAGATGCAGTTTTAGGTGACAGGTAGGTTTCCGTCCAATTCTCGTCCAGTAGTGCTGAAGAATCATCGTCACTAGACTCTGCTGGGCCGTAACATCCCGCAAAGAGTTCCTTCTTGTATGGTACCCCGGGCAATTTTACCAGAGAGCTCCTCAGCTTGGTCTCGGTTTTGGCGACGAATGGTGGATGTAAAGGCTCCCGATAGGAATAGCAGCACTCGGTCAAGAGCTCAATTAATATGCCAACCCCAGTTCCGTCCATGACGACATGGCTGAAGCAGATACATGCTACCAGTCCATCCAGCAAGAGATTTGCTTGGAATCCTGAAGGACGGAGCAACTTCGTCTTTAAGAAATGGAAGACTAGAAACCTATTTACTCTGTAGAGTCGGAATAGCGCTTTCAGGATTTGACAAACAGAATGATAGAAAAACAGGCAAGTTGACTTCGGTAATAGTATGGTTGAGAGGTGTAAGGACAAATGGCTCAAAATTAGACATTACGATGATGCTTTTGATAGGGAATGACAAAGGGTTGGGCGTTGAAGAGAAAAGATATTCACCACCTCTAGCTGAAATGCTATTAAATACAAGAAAATGAAGACCTCACTTACATTAGTACATGCAAAGTATACCTATGGTATGTACAGTACTGTACTAGTAGATTTAAATTATGTGGAGCAATATTCGTGGGTTAACCCGATCTCGGGAACGATTGTATGTCCTAGTACGTATCGTAATGAATTTATAATACTCCGTATTATACACGGAGAAATTTGTATCAAAATGTAGTTTCATGAAGAATGTCCCGGCTAAAGAGAAGAAATCGAACAACTAGGGGAAAGAATAAAAGAGTCTCCATTTCCTTGTACCACCAAATGATTTAAACAGAGAAGCCTAGCCTAGAATACAAATGCAGTCCAGAGTCTGAGATTGATGAAAGGAAAAGAACAATATGCAAGAGATTAAACCAGAAATCATGGATACTCATCTAAGGCTCGACCTAGAGTCGCATCGTATCATCATTATCTGCCTCATTGGCGTCAAGAACTCCGAACTCCCAATCACCTCTCTCAATCCTACTGATCCGATCCAGCTCGGACTGGTACTCGCGACGTAAATGGTCGAGCGTCACGATGACACGCCGTCGGGGAGCATGGCTGCCGATTGTAGAGACAGAGGACCTGCTATCTCTGCGACCGGATGGTACGATTGCGGTGGCACTAGAGCTGAGTCTGCGCTTGGAGCCATATGGTGTGGGTGGGTTCACATCAGCTTCGTCCATGAATACATTCCCGTCATCGTCTGCTTGCAGACTACGGCGTCGATCTGCGAACGGGGCGGCGGTTGCACCGGAGTCTTCCTTCTCGACTAAAATATAGGCTTCGCTCTTCTCCACGCAGCCAAGCAGGTTGATTAACGATAGGAGTTCGGTTCTAATCTCCTTGCTTTCGAGATCATCTTCGTCCGTAGGCTGGGTGCCATCAGTATCGCGATTCTTGCTCAGCACCAGATGAGAGGAAGGAGCGTCCCGGGCATTGCGGAGGCGCTGCACGTTTCGATACGCGATCTCGGCGGCCCCACGGTAATCGCCCCGTGCGATACGGTATGCCTGTAGAACTCTCTGGTAATCAGGTGTGCTGCTTCCAGTATCTAAGAGAGAACTGAAAGTCGTCTGTTTCCGAGCAAGTGAGGCCAGTGTATCGTCCACGTAGGAAGCGATATTTGGAATGAGTGCCGTCGGAAAGTGGAGGATTTGCTGAAGTCCAGAAGTGCCTGGTCCGGATGCAACCAATATACTCGAGACTAGGGAGCTGAGAGCGGACTTCTGCAGTGCAAAGTCCTTGTATCGAGATAGCGCAGAATATGCTTGGTCAAACTGACAATTCTGCAACGACGCATAGAACAATCGCGAAAGAAGGTCAGTGCGCAAGATGTTGTATTCTGGATCTTGGTCATTGTGGTTTTCACTCGCAAGTGCCTGCAATGCAAGGCGTGCGAAGTCAGCAACGTGAGAAAACGAGCGAGCTTGCTCGAAGATGGTCAATATATGTTGAAAATATTTTGGAAGGCCATTGTGGAACGAGTCCACCGAGACAATATCCAGCAGCGTCGACGACATTTCATGCAAGTTACCGAGAGGTTTGCCGCACGCTAAAGACAAGGTCAGATAATCTGGTCTAAGAAAATGCGGGTGGGAGACTTACAGAGGAGATATGCAGCCTTGCGGAAATACAAGGCCGCAGTGTCGAATTCAGACATAGCCACATACAGACGACCTTTCACATATGTCGCCCAAGAAGTGCTTGGTTGGAAACGAAGGAAGTCCCAAGCAAGATCAATGTTGTTCTTTGCAATGAGATCACATTGTATGTAAACCAGGGCGTTTGGAAAAGCTACTTCGCCTTGGCGTGTGACCCAGGACAAGACATCATGGATTCCCAGAGTTAGAGTATAGCTTTGAGGTAGACCAATGGTCTGCCGGGGTTTGATATCACTAGCAAATAAGTCCTCTAGAATAGTCGCCATTCTTGAGCCTGTGGTCTTCGAAGCTGAGTCCTTCAAAGAGAACTGTGATGCTGATTGGTCATCTGAGGCATTTATAGGCCTATCAAGACATTTCCGGGTGTTTGAGCTGAGCCAGGCCATCATCTCGTATTCTCTTAATAATGTTATTAGCGAACCGAACAAGTCCACGGCATCGAACTCAGATGTGTCTTCTTGCTGAACCTCGCCGTCCACAAAAACTACGAGGACTAAGAGGTCAATGAGGAGCTGACGCGTATATAGTATCGCCTCCTGCACGCCATTCACAGTAACCTTCACTCCGAAGTGGGTAGCCAAAAGGTCTGAATCCTTTCCGGGGAACCCAAGTGGGATCGTGTCTATAATGGTGTAGAAAACATTGTTCGGCAGATTGTATATGTTCAGATACCCATCCATAGCCGCAAGCAGACCGTCATAGGTCTTGTTGGAAATCTGTTCGCCAAAGTCGCAACGATCACGGAAAGCGTCCATCCTGTCCTGAACAGATGAGGATGGATCAGTGAATAGCTCTGCTTCAAGAGCATTTTGACAAGCTGCGTTAAGTTCAGCTGGGAACCTTCTTCTGAACCCGGAGGCAACTGTCATCAGTCGAGAAGCTTGCTCGAACATATTTCCAATCTCCTCATCCAGGTTCCTGTGCCTCCAGCGATCCGCAATTTTGTGTCCTTCGGTGCGAAGTTCAGCACCCGAGTTATGCAAAAGCAACTCGGTTGAGCTGCATTCCCTGATCACTGCGCAGCTATCTGAAAGGAGCAGCCATGGAGTCTCATAGTAGCTGTCATAAAGAAGAGAAACAGGCTCGAATCGCCTTTTATTAATATCTTCCGCAATCTGCCAAAACTGGCGCCACTTTGCGTCTGTATCTGTGCGATACCTAGCAAAATCCATCTCGTCATCGGCATACTTCCGAAGCGATACAGTGGCAGCGACAGTAGAGCAGAGTCGCTCTGTTAGTGAAGCACTTTTCTTTAGAACACTGGAAGAGAGGGGCCGGAGCGCCTCCTGATAAACCGCTAGGGAAGTCTCAAGCACCTCGGGCGAATACTTGTTGGGTTGTAAAAGGAACTTCAGCCACTTCTCTGTTGGGTCCACCACGTCGGAGAATGCCATAGGCGGCGGAGGCTCCTGTCCGCGAGTGTCGATCGCCGTCGACACCCAATTGGTATCCCAGTCTCTCACTAAAGTTTCGAAATTGAAATGTAGCGTGTAAAGCTGATAGACGCCGCTGTTCCTCCAAAGGACCCAGAGTTCCATTCCTTTCCCTTCTTCAGCCGGCTTGAGCTGGAAATCTATGATACTCCAGAACACATTCCCCGTCGAATCAGGGTCTAAGGGCCGCAGCGGAGCATCTGGAAAGAGATCTTCGATGACGAGCGGCGATGTCAAGCCTCCCTTTACAGCCCAAAACTTGAAACGTCCATCTTCAAAAGGCGAATATGTGATAACGTAATACCGATATGCCCCGTCCAGAGCTCTCTCCACGTTGAACACACGGATGAAGGATGAATCAGCTGGGTTTAATGTATACGACAGCGAATCTGGCTCTTGCACTTCACGGCCTAGCAGGTCAGTCGTGGCAGCTAGCTTGTTTGTAGCTAGGTTCCAAATCTTTAAAGAGTGATTCAAACAGACCGCGAAAGCGTAAGTCTGATCAGATGTCGTGGCGATCGCATTTGCCAGGTTTGTGTCGAGATTGCGTCCTTTGTATTTAATTGAAGGTTGCGCGTGCCACCTTACCAATCCGCGGATAGAGGCACCCCAAGTTCTCTCGTCGAAGGTAAGAGGGGACCAATTTGAGCCTGGGAATCAATTTAATTAGCATTCTCAATTCCCCAGTGTCAAGTTCAGAGCGAAACATGGAGGATTACCATCATCGCCCGATCTCCGGGTTAGGCGCAGAAGCGCGCCATTATCGAGGGAGATGAACAGCTCAAGCGGACTGCTAGCATGCAATCGATGGGGGTAGGAGAACGACAAGGGCGCCGGTACACAGCTCTTGCACCAGTCCGATACATTGTTGTCAATCGCACTTGTTCTGCGGAAAAATTCGGGACGCAAACTCAAGGTGTAAAGCTGCTTGGAGGCCGTAATCACGAAAACGCTCAGCACTTCATGATCTTCTAAGTCTGAGAAGTCAACGCATGAAGGAAGAATCTCTTCTTGAAAATCCAAGCGTATGGTATTGTTGTATACAGAATGCTCGACGCCGCCCTTCGTCAAATCGACACATTGAATCTCAAGCACCTTGTTATCATTGACAACCCTCCATAGGAACGATCGGGGATAGACACTGCGTTTGCGAAAATAGACTGAGCCCTGGCTCGAGAGATATCGTCTAGAGAATTCCTCTTCATCTTTCGCTATAGGTTCGTCTGCGCCTACAGAGGAGGATATAGAGAATCGCGCTCGGCTTTGCGTACTCGTATGTGTTGGAATCTGGATGTTGACGACAGCATTCGATGAGTACGGCCGAAGGTCGACCTTGGTGTCTTTATAAATTTTCGCCATGTCGAATGAACGAGGGACCACCTTCCACTAATTTGTAAAATTGGTCACTTCAAGTCTCCATGGCCGACTGTCGCAAGTAAGTGGAATGTCGCAGCCCGTGGAGTTGGAAGAGGGAAGCTCCGAAGCTCTGTTCAGAAAAAACACGGTCTTGGCACCAGCCTTAGCAACGCGCATCCACCGCCTTTGGAGATCTACAAGTTTGATGAAAGGAGAGAACAAATCGTTCGAAAAGATATTGTTGGAAGAAAGACCCCTGTTCTTCATGTATATAAATTATGGTTCTTTTTTTAAGTGATTAACTTTTATCTCAATCAACACATAATATCTAACACAATCCTACAAACACCATATGCTATCAAAAACAAGATACTAAACAATATGTACTAATGGACAAAGAAAGTAAGAAACATATACCGATCGTGGTATCATAAGTATTTCATATAGCTGCATCGCTCCTCAATTATTCTCCAAGTCCTTGGGGCTAGGATCCCCAATACCATCTTCATTGATGGCAAAAAGACAGTCACTCTCGGGCAAACAGGGACTGTCATAGATCTTGCACACTCGGGTCTCTCCTCTCCCCTTTTTCAGGCTCAGTCTGGTCGTGCTGGCGTGTGCGATAATGTTTCCACCAATTGGCTTCTTGGGGTCTGGATTGAACATCGCGCTCGGGCCGCCGTCGACTTGAGCGACGACCTGGTTTGTGATGACGACGGCAATACCAAATTCATCTGCCAAGCGCTGCAAGGTACGCATGAATTTAGCCAGATGTGTTTGTCGAGTTGATAGTTCACCTCGGCCGTTGAAATCTGTCCGATACAGCGATGTAGCGGAGTCGACGACAAGAAGCGAGAAACGAGTTTCGCACATCATTTGCGACGCCTGGTTTAGCAGCTGGAGCTGGTGGTCTGAGTTATAAGCGCGGGCGTAGGCCACATTATCGAGCACCTCTTCCCCAACAAGTCCGTACCGTTGAGCAACTGCCAACAGACGCACCGGTCGAAATGTCCCTTCAGTATCAATGTAAAGACACTTCCCTTCCCCACCACCCATGTCGAATGGCAGCTGGCAAGTCACCGCAAGCGTGTGGCAAATTTGACTTTTACCTGTCCTAAATTCTCCAAATATCTCGGTGATAGATCCAGTTTCTATACCACCGCCTAGAAGAGTATCCAATTGCTTAGATCCTGTCGTGATCGATATGAGCTCGCTTCGACGAGCATGCATTTCCGTTGCAGTAGTGAAACCCATTGGCACAAGCTTGGCAGCTATTTATCAGATATAATCAGCATGGATCTTTACAAACAATTGAGCTCCGTTGGTTGGAATGACTAACCTTCAACCAAAACTTTGGTGGCCTTCTGCTCCGAGATACCTTTGATCTGTTCCAGTAAACGCTTCGGTCTATGATGTACCGCCAACGCCAATGTCAGTATCACCTTAATATCTCCAGCAGCAAGCTTGTTTAAGCATTCGAGAGGAAAGACGTACGTATACGCAATTGATTCGACAGTGTGATAGCCAGCGTCGACAAACAATTTGATATCTCTTCCCGTTAAGCCCGCAACACCCTATCGAGTCATGGTCAGTACGGGTAATTGCAAGGGCTTCCTCTCTACTAAGACAAGCGTGTAATATTGTATCATGTGGACAGTAGAGAATCCTCACTTCTAAAGCTGAAAGTGGCGTTGGGGCTCCGGGCCCTGGGAGTCCACTATCATCATATTCATTCTGAGTATCCATATCTGCTGTCATTTTCAATCAGGTAGGCAAGTAAAGTGCCCCTCTAGCCAGCCCCAAGAGTAATAGCAAGCAACTGCTACTGGTCTTGCACAGTCTTCTCAGCGCGACAGTACGCGTTTTATCTTGACTGTAGGTAGATTCTGCGCTAGGAGTGTTTCTTCTCGGACAAATACCCTAAAGACTGCTCGGTAGCCACCGGTTTGGAAACAATAGAAGCCTTATTTAAGACTCGCAAGACGGTCAATGTGGCAAAACGGCGTCTAACTATGCGGCGATACACAATTTGTTGAGGTTCTAGACGCGTCGAAGCCGTCACGAGGTCACGTGTGCCAGGCATATAAGGCTGCTGCCTTAAGAGGTGAGCCTAGAATCACGCAACGCTATATTGGAACAATAATGCAAGTAAACATGAGAGGGGCATTAATGTGCAGGTCATGAGCTTGTTTCATTACGTCCTGTTTCATTGAGTCCGAAAAGTCTCTTGACGGTTATCAACCGATACACCGAACATTTTTCCACGTTAACAGTACAGTTGTATCGCCTAAGATAATTTCTACTTTCATCCTCACAGTGGAACGATCATTATGCGTCGCAGAGCTTACTATAGCGCAATTGAGGCAAGGCAGACGTGACAGATGACTGTATCCAACAGGAAAGAATGAAGACCTTCAAGGCTGACAATTCCCGCTCTGGGGTACGTTACATGACCAACTGATAATAGCATATAATCCCCTTTTTTCGGGAAAGTAAACAATGGAACTATTCAATCAAAGGATTGCATGGTTTGGCCTATACATCGATGGATCTGGGATGAGTTCCTTTTGACGACCATCAACGGACTCTGAAGAATCAGATTGTAACTGAAACATTTCGATCGGATGTGCATGGACATTTTCGTCGAACAATCTGCTAATCCTGCGCCTAAACTCTTCGGAAGAGGTTCGCAGATGAGCTCCTATGGAAGCTCGTCAGTTTCGGCATCCTATTGCCACAAATCTCCTGTACAGTCTACTCTCGCAAACTAGGATGAAGTCGTGGACTTACCTTCAAGGCTTGGCATTCTCTTGTCAAAAGGCTTGCTGATCCATGAGCTACGAGAGCTGAGTCGCGGCTTTGATCGGGCAACATCCGAGTCGGCTACATCATGGGACTTACCGATTGGTTGAAGATCTGATTGACGAGCTTTGTTTGCATGCAGAGTGTCGGGGTAAAGACTATCCGATGATTCGGCCCTAATATCGGAAACTGCTGGAGCCCATCTTGGACCGGACTGACTTGATAGAGACACCGGTATGTATGTTTGAGAAGGCCTCTGTACCATACTTGTTGGGCTCGCGGGCAGCTGCGTCAGGGCTGGTCCAGCGCTTTCGTGCCTAGTTGGTGTATTAGATTCCATCGGAGACTCCTGGCCTGGTGTCCAGATGCCTTCCACAAGAACGCCTTGCTCTAAAGCTCTAGCACCGAATGGCACCTCATTTGTTTCTGACAGCATCGGATGTTGCTCCGCATCCTGTCTTGTCTTCCGATGTGCGTCTTCAGCGGCATGATTCCTGGTGGCCCGTCTGTTGTATAAAAGGGCACAGAGCGAATAAATAAGCACGAGAACCTTGTCATATCAGTGGTGATCCTAGTACCGTGGGGTTCGTCACATTACGAGAAGGCCCGCGAGCACCTATATAAGTCATCATTAGCAATACCCCAGTTTCAAAATATTCAGTCATTGCATCCGTACGAAACTAAGCTTCTGCCACAGTGCCCAATCCACCCAAAACCGCATGGTGACTCCGGATTTGGCTGGCGGGCAAGGTGTGACACTAGTGCCCTGAGACAGCAATTAGAAGCAAGTAGCGGCGATTGAACTATGTTCACTGACTGGCCAATATGTGGACAACGGCTCTTGTCCGGTCAGCCTATCACCTAGTGGTGAAGAGGAAAGCTCTGTGGTTTGGGGCGAGTTACTCTAAGGCTACAGTGCAGATTCAGTTCTCAGCCAGTGGGAGTAAAAGCAGGAAACTAGCTGTCATGAAAGTGACACTCTAATTTGAAAACACTGGTGGAAAGTGCAAACGCGGCGTATGCGAGTCCGGGATCACGCTGAACAATGGAAAGCACACCTGACAGATACTTCCTCTTCTGTTGGAGCATGTATTGTGTGTCACTTGGGTACATTTTTAATAACTACTTGTAAATGCATCGTAAGACCTGGCCTATGGTGATGAAATATATGAGGATGGTTGAGAAGTATAAATAAAAATTTCGTTACAGATACCACTAGTGAAAGGTAAGTTGAGTAGAAAAGAATGGTGCTATGATTAGGCAAAAATTATATTGTGGCACGGGGAAGACGATATGAACGAAAACAAGGGGCAAAAAAATGGGAATGCAAAAAAGAAGAGAGACACGTAGTTGTCCAGCCAAATAGCCAATTTCCCTGTAACGGGTCGGTGTATTCTGGCGACGCCACCCCAGGGTGGAGATGTCTCTGCAGAATTGCTTCCCTCAAGAATCATCTCCATTGCTTAGCGCGTTGTAGCGATCATGGATTACTCGCACGAGTACAACGACGACCCCAGGATTCGTACCAGGCACCGGTCCCGCTGGTGTGGAGAACCTAAGCAAGGTTATCGTCTTAGCGGCTGACCTCCCACTAGTTTATCCGTGACAGATTAACAATAACGTAGATTGCTTTAAAATATATCCTATGCTGGCCACGTTTTTATACAATGGCTCGAGTGTTTTTTAGCCATGCATCGAGGTTACAGTAAACATAATGTATGGCGAGCAAAGAATTTTTTTTTCCTATTAGTTCTTTTGTGTATGTTTTGTTTATTTTAGATTACAGAAATTCAAGCAAAACTCTTCTTTCATACCATCCACATCTTCAATAATGAGACATATCTTCATCCAAACTCTCGTTCAAAGCAAATACCAAATATCAAACCAACTTATCAACCAAAGCAACTCCATACGCTTGTCAATCTTCTCTGTTTGCCTTCTCATAACAAAACACTCTCATTCCCCCATTCATAAGTCAAGTAGGAGACCCCTCAGTTCTTGTTATGCTTGCACTCCCTCGTCAGACGCCATCCCAGACGACAGACACCCGAGCAACACTCTTCATTGGCGGCGCACAGCTGCTTGTAAGGCTTGCATGACGGGGGGTTGGCTCCGCCTGCAGTACGGCACTGTCCACCCAGGCATGTCTGACCTCGGCGGCAGTCTTTATCAGCCAGGCAGCCAAGAATGCAACGGCCGGCACTGCACAGGTAACCAAGATCACAGTCCAGGTCGGAGCGGCATCTGCCCCTGCGGCGCCAGTGCAAACCGTCGGTGGAGACTCCATCGTCGTCACTGGTGACTGAGTCGTCATTGGGAACGCTCTCTTCATCCTTGTTCTTAGTGGGTGCCTTGTCACCTGTAACGGCTGTCTCGGTTGCATCCGCTACCACAGTAGTAACAGGGACATCACCACGACGCCAAATAGTAACATTGGCGGGGCTTTGTGGAGTCGATAGGGCAACAGCAAAGGCTACCTCGACGGTGGCAGCAGCCAGAACAGTAAAGGTAAGAAGACGGACCATTTTGATAGCTGCAGAGTATTTTGCTTTGAGCAGGTTGTTTGTAAGACAGGGTAGTGTAACTTTATGAGAAAAAAGAAAGGTCTGTATGGAACTGATATTTGTTGGAGGTATGCTTGAAAGTTGCAGGTGGTTGTGAAGAAGAATGCACAAAAGATGGCGAGAGGTGGTATAAGTACTCTGACTCAAGTGAAAAACTAGCTCTCGTTACCGTGGTTGATGGTGTAGGCAGCTGTGTGAAAAATCTATGCAAATGACTATATCGTGTCATCATACGCTGCTGTAGACTGCGCAGACAACGTTCAGGCAGCTTCCTGATGTGGTTTCGAAAACAGATGCGGCAGTGGAATCTACGATTCAGATGGCCCCTCAGGAAGGAGAAGAGAAGAGGACAGTGAGACATGTTATGCATCTAATATCTTTGCTTATCCTTGATATAATATTTGAATCTACGCACGCATTGATATACTACGAAGTTTCAACAGCTCGAGGCGTAGAGGAAGTCTTTCGGTAATAAGTACGTAGAGTATCATGTGTCCTAGAGATTTTTGCAGCACTACACCAGCGGATGGCTCAACACATCGTCGTAAATTTACCAACTCCTTGAAAAGGACTAAGAAGCAGGCAGGTGTGACACTATGTAGTAATAGGATTTATTATCAGAACGGGCGAATTCTAGGTATTACCAAGGCAAGCTACAGTGTAGTAGCTGCCATGTTTAAATTTTCCAAATTAAAGTAATATTGTGTAGAGTACAACCTGAAGCCCTAATCTGTATCTCTGAGGTGACTGGATCACACCTAATAACTTAAGAACCTAATATCCTCAAAGAACCGCGACTAGCTACATTACCACCTTACAAAACGGTGAGGTCTCATCGAGCATAACTGATATGTTTGTTATCGAGTAAAGCAGTAGATATAGCGTACTTTGCTCGTAGTAAGCGCAAGGTTGTACTACTCTATAGGTATGCTCAGCGCGTCATGAAGTTCACAGCAGAACCAGCCAATCCAATTGCCCCCCACACTTGGCTAGTGGGCCCTTAATTTACATTAGATAAATTATCCTACTGGGCTCGTCGTTCCCTTACATCAAACGGATAAATCACTATTTCATTATTTGTACCGCCGAGGCGCCGATCATGTGAGGTTGCGTCTCTTGACTTGAACCACTCGTACGATCCTTAAAACCCTCTCTACCTCACCCTCTGTACCCATTGTCGCCTCGGTAGGGCAGTGCGATTACCTTTTACGCAATTCAAAAATTTCCCCACGACCTCTCTACTCTAAATATGACCCCGTTCCGCAACTTCCTCACCAAAAAGTCCGCGGCGCCTAATAGCGGGGAAGCCGATAACGTTAGTCGCTTGCCCGCAGACAGCCATCATTCATCGCCCTTGAATATCAGGAAAAGTACCGACAATGGACCTCCTGAATATAAACTGAGTGGTATGTTTTCTATCCACTCGCAATGGATATAGACGTCGCTAATATTTGTCCGCAAAACAGTGGTCGACGATAATGGAGCCTATCTTCCGGTAATTCAACAACCCCTCAACCACGTGCTGGTGTTGCATCTTTTGCGCTGCGGCTAAACATCTACCAATAGCCATCTCCGCCGGAAAAACAGAGCTTCTGGCGCAGGTACCCAGGCTCCAATAAATCCTCGAACCATCGCGACCTCGTCGACGAGAATGAGCCGTTCTCAATATCTCGCGAATCCTTCGATTCGTATCGCCGGTCATTTGTGAGTTTCTTACCCACCCTGGGAGATGTTTGAGGGGGTCTGACGCATAATTAATTCCAGGATATATCTGCCCGGTCACCCATAAATCATAGCGACGCAATGCCCTCTCGCACCTCGCTTGACTCGCGTTTCTCCCGTCTACCATCGCCATGCGTAAAGGGTCTCCAAAAGCAACCCACATCAATGGAAGAAGAACAATTCGAGGATGTTGGACTCGATGACGACAACGAAGCCAAGCCGAAAAAGAAAGGCTTATTCTCGCGACTCGGCGACTTCACAAATGACAGTCAAACATCAAGCAACTCTAAACTAGGCTTTCACATCCCGGGCAGAAAACGAGGACAAAGCAATGTAGGATCTGAATTGGGCTCTATGAAGTCGCCGCCAACCGTAGAGTCGGAGTTACGTGATGCGTGAGATCCTCGCAACTATGGTATATTTGGGTAATGAATGGGGTAGGCGTTCGGGGGGTTGATCAGGGTTTCTTCCCGATCGACTACTAATACTCTGTACAAGCGCTTTGATTTGGATTCTTGCGCGCTGATGGCCGAAGCACCATTGCTACGCATACATACGGCCTAATTGATTGTATGATTTTCTTTGTGTTGTACTCAGATAATAGAGTTCAAGTTCCTTGAAAATTTTCCAACGACTTCCTTTCGCCACTCATACTCAATCCACGGGAACAGTGATTACTCTGTAAGAGGCACTGTAACCTTAGGCTCCTTATCGCAAACCAAAGGCCTTATCAGTAAAATGCAAACAAGGCAAACTTGCCGACCGCCCCAGGTCTTCGGAGCCAAAAAAAAAAAAAGAAAGAAAAAAAGAAATATCCGCAGCGGTAATTTAAACGAAAAGGAAAATTCCAGCGGGTGACGTACTGAATTCGTTCACCAGGAAGTCCTCAAAACAATCAATTCCAGTTTTCTTGGAACTGAAAAAGAGGAAAAGCAAGGAACTAATATAGTCATGGTCGGAGTAAAGCGTCCTGTGGACGCCGGCGACGAGCGCAAGGGAAAACGGACGAAGACCAAGACACCAACCGTGCCGACGAAGAAAACCAAGGCTGCGCCTGAGAAAAAATCCAGCTCGAAGGGTGTGACGAAGAAGGGTTCAAAGCCCGAGAAGAAGGATAAGAAGGCTTCAAAGAAGAAGGTTGAAGAGGAGGAAGATGACGATGATTTCGATCTGGACGATGTTGAAGACTCAGATATTGATGACCTGGACGATGTCGAGGATGAGGATGTTGATATGAATGATGGAGGCGACAGTGATGACGAAGATGAAGAGGAGGAGCCGAAGAAGGCTGCGGAAAACGCAGAAGCTGCGAAAAGTATGATAACGAGGCTTTTCACCCGAAATATTGGATATCAAGCTGACTGTTCACCTTTTGCAGACAAGACATCCTCGCGCGAATCGCATGCAAAGCAAAAGGCCCTCTTGCAAGAGCGCAAAGCTGCAAAGCCCAATGCCGATATGATTCAACGCTCTAAGCAGCTGTGGGAGCGTCTGCGCCGAAAGTCACATGTTCCGCTTGAAGAGAGAAAGAAACTCATTACCGAACTTTTTGATATCATCACCGGACGAGTGAGAGACTTCGTCTTCAAGCACGATTCGGTTCGTGTTATTCAGACTGCCTTGAAGTACGCAAATATCGAGCAACGGAAGCAGATTGCGCGAGAGTTGAAGGGCCACTACAATGAGCTTGCGCAGAGCCGCTATGCTAAGTTCCTGATCGGTAAACTGATCGTCCATGGTGATACTGAGATTCGGGACTTGATCATTCCAGAGTTCTATGGTCACGCCAAGCGCCTCATCCGACACCCCGAAGCATCTTGGATTTTGGACGATGTTTACCGGCAGGTTGCAACGAAGGAGCAGAAAGCAAAGCTTCTTCGCGAGTGGTATGGTGTGGAATTCAGTATTTTCAAGGAGGAGAAGGGGAAGGTGCCAACTGCAGAGCTTTCTGAGATTCTTAAAGAGAGCCCAGAGAAGAGGGGACCTATCATGCATTTCCTTCATGAACTTGTCAACCAGCTGATCCAGAAGCGTACGACTGGATTCACAATGCTGCATGATGCCATGTTGCAATATTTCCTCAACACAAAGCCTGGCAGCTCGGAGGCCAATGAGTTTATCGAGCTGCTCAAGGGTGACGAAGAAGGTGATCTAGTCAAGAATTTGGCGTTCACCCAGTCTGGCTCGCGTCTGATGTGCCTGAGCTTGGCATACTCCAGCGCTAAAGACCGCAAACTGCTTATGCGGTTCTACAAGGACACCGTCAAGGTAATGGCTGGTGACCTCTACGGCCATATGGTTCTCTTGGCAGCATATGAAGTTATCGATGACACTAAGCTTACAGCGAAGTCGATCTACCCGGAGCTACTGAACCAAGGCGGCGACGCGGAGGCACGGAATGAAGAGCTACTTTACCAGGTCAACGATCTGACAGGCCGTATCGCTATCCTGTTTCCATTTGCGGGAGACCGGACCAAGTGGCTTTTGCCCGAGATCGACCAGGGAGTTTTGAAGGAAGTTCGTGAGATTCGTCAGGAGACTTCGAAGAAGGACCCATCTGTCCGACGCCAAGAATTGGTCAAGGCTGCGTCACCAACCCTGCTTGAGTTCATTGCAGCCCGCGCAGATTCTCTCTTGGAGACAAGCTTCGGATGTCAGTTTATTGCCGAAGTTCTCTTTGATGCCGACGGAGACAAGAGTGATGCTCTCTCTGCTGTCGCGGTTGCTGCCAAAACTCGTTCTGACACCAAGGATTTGCCTTTTGTTGGACGGCTGCTGAAATCCCTCGTTCAAGGAGGTCGGTTCAACAGTGCTGAGAAAGTGGTCGAGAAGGTGCAGCCTCCGTTAAACTTCCACGGGCTGCTGTATGAACAAATTCAGGAGGAGGTCATGTCATGGGCCACCGGATCCAATGTGTTTGTGGTTGTGGCCCTAACGGAATCCGATGAGTTTGAGAAGAAGGCTGAACTGTTGAAGACTTTGAAGAAGGGTAAGAAGGCTCTGCAGCAGGCCGCTGCCGAGCCTGGGAAGGATGGAAAGAAGAAATCAAGCCCAACCAGCAGCGGTGCTAAGTTGCTCCTGGAAAAGATCTAGACTCGATGAACTATGCTTGGGGCCTGGCAACAAGCGAACCCGTATAATATTGGTTGGGACATTGATTGGTTCTGGGAACTCAATCATTCCCGTTCTCACTTTGTGATATATCTTCGCGCTGGCATTTCTTATCTGTACAGGGTCTG